TATGACTAACTTTTGCCATTTTGGTGGGAGTTTGCTATGTTACTTTCCTTGATGAGCTTGTTTCTCATCTCTTTGGATGTTTGTTTTCAAAGACGCTTTTCTGTCTCCCTTATCTAGGAGAAAGACCTCTATATTTTATTATTTTGGTGAGAGGCCTGCTCCTAAACCTCCTTAGATGTTTACTTTGAAGGATGCCTTCTGTTTCTCTTACCTAAGACAAAGTCACTTCTGCCATTTGCTCACCTCATAGGTGTGGCAGTCACAGTGTCTGAGCCCATCACTTTCCTTTATTAAAAATGGTAAATAATCCCACTTGAAACACTGTCCTTCTCTCTAAAAATTATACATATAATCCTGTCCTTGGTTTTCCTTACTCCCATAGACATAGTTATGATTAACTGTATGCTTGATGTTTTTTCACAATTGCCCACAGACTCTGCTTATTTCTTTTTGTTCCTCCTCATCTCTTAAAACTTCCAGTTGGGATCATTGGCCTTCAATACAACTACAGGATTTAGTATTCCCTTTGGTGAGTATTTTATCATGACAATTTTTTAATTAAACTTAAATATTTAGGTCTTATCTAAGAAGGTCACTTCATACGATATATGTTTTTAGATGTCTTTTCATTCATTTACAACACAAAGGATGTATTTTTGTGATGCAGGAATTGAACACAGGACATGCTAGGCAAGTGTGCCACCACTGAGCTATGCACTTGGCCTCTCATGTAGCATGCTGTTACATTGTATTCCAGCTTCTATTATTGCAATTGGAAAGTTAACTGCTTCTTTAGGGCAAATTCTTGAATATTCTGGACATTTCTAAAATTTTCTTTAACTTTACTGCAATGAAATTGTAGCCATTGGAGTATTTGGTATTATTTTCTCCAATGCTTCATAAAAAATCAAAATGTATCTTTTGTTTGGAAGAGAAAGAAAAAGCCTGAAAAGTCAAAGTTTTTTCTTTAAAAACTATAAACTATCCTATTAGATCTTGGGGAAGGAAGAGGCTCAGTTTATAAAACTTGTAATTCAAAAACTAACTCTTGCATGTATCTATTTGCTTCCTCTGTGACAATCTTAATCTCAGGGAATGAGTAGAAAGTAGCTTTAGTGACAGCAGAAATGAATGCATGCTCATGTACTGAGTGAGAAGTGGAGTGACAGAGGAGGGAAAGGGCAATTTGGAAGACATAATATCAAGAAAAGAAAATCAGTTAATCATTTAAATAATCACTCCCACCTTTTAAAAAATTTTTGATGTCCTAAGCCAGGCATACTGGCGCACGCATGTAATCACAGCACTCAGGATGATGAGGCAGGAGGACCGTGAGCTGCAGATAAGCCCAGGCTTCATAGGAAGTTCCAGGAGAGCTTGAGCTGAATAGTGAGACCCTGTCTCAAAGACAAAACAAAAAACAATTGGATGGCTTGTATTAGAGGTAGACTCCCCAGATTTGAAGAAAAATTCTATGCTTTTACCCTATGAAAATCCTTAGTTTGGCTTAATCTAAAATAAACTCAAGTTGTTTTCTTCATTTCACATTGGGAAAACATCACAGAACTGACACTTGACATGAAAGCTGAGAATTATTATAGCTTGAGGTAGCCAGAGGGCATGATTCTTTTGAAATCACATCTTCTACATCAACATGGCCTTGGTGTCCATTACCCGAGCCAGGTGCCATCACTCATTGTCTTTGAGACTTATGAACAATATTCAGTGAGTACCCTGTAGTATCATGGAAACCCACACTATGGGTGCCCAGGAAAAATCTTCCCAAAACATTCCACTGATCACAGAAATATCACATGGAAAGAAAATGCTTACTGGCTCCTACGATCCAATTCTGTGTCAGTCCCATTTAAGGCATCCATAGTGTGCTTGAATTCCTTATAGAGCATGAGAGTACAGAGGACAGAGGAGTAATTCTGGACTTGAGCTCAGAAGTCCTGACACACACTTAGCAATTCAGTTTCCATTGATGAACCTCAACCCCCAAGTGCTCATCTTCAAAATAAGGTTGTTTGTCTGTAAGGTATATAAGAAGCCCCCCAGCCAAATATGCAGTCCAACTCATTCACCATTCTCTGTCCTAATAACCATCTCTTACAGTGAGCAATATTCAAACATGATGCCACTGTATGATTTTTTCATACTTTTCTTCCTTTCACTATAGTTAATATTTGGAATGTGCTTACCCATTTCTCAGCTAGTCCATACTCTATTCATTCTTCAAGGAGGACTTGACCCTGACCCTTCTGTGCTGTCATTTGACTTAGGCTGTGCACTAAATTGGAGAAGTGATTATACTGCATTCTTTCCTTAACCCTGACTTATCAATGCCATAAACTACCTGAGGTGCTTGAAAATAGATGATCTGAGATTCCAATATAGTTAACAAAGTGAGCCAATAACTATGGAAACAGCATTCAAATCTTACTGACTTCAACAACTTTATATAAAGTGAGACTACACTAAAACTTAAATAGGAAATTTGTTGTGGGATGAAGACACACTTGTGTGATTTTGCAGGTCATATTAATTGGAAAACTACCATAAACCAGGCTATAGTCTCAGGATATATAAAAACATCCATTGTACACAAAATATCTTACATTTATTGATTAATAACATCTTTCCATTCATTATGACAATAAATTTCACAAAAACCCCATGAACAAATTACTGTCATTAACCAATTGTTGTGGGTTGAAAAGGAAGTTTAGAGAGGTTAATTATCTTACTCAAAGTCTTTAAAAATGATGTAACAGGGCCGTGTCCAAATCCCATATACTTAGCCACTATTCTATGTTCTTTCTTACTTGCTCTGCAATTTAGAGCACTAGCTACTGTGCCTCATTGGGATTACTGTGTCCTGACAGCTGATAATGATCTCAATGGATTTTATGACCTCTTCTTAGTGTATGCCTTTGCAAATTTCCTCCTTTGGAATTTTTTGCAAAGCCACCATGATCTGACTGTTTTAAACACTCTCAAAATAGTTAAACTAAAGCTTTTTATCACACATAATTGCTTATAACTCAAATGTCCTACAAAAACTAAGTAAAGAGATTTCATTGTTCCTAAGAAGCATTGATCATCCACAGACTGGCTAATGGCAAAATACAATGGCAATACTATCAGTCCATCAAAAGGTCCAGGTACAGAAAATTCTGAGAAGAAACAAGTCTTCAAGTCTGTGATCCATCTCAGGGTTCAGCACCACTGTGGGGCAGCAGGGTCTGAATAACTGTGACGACAGAAGAGACATTACCTATTTATACAAATGAGTCGGGTGTAACACCAGTGGTAGTGGAAGATTGCAGATGATTGGCCTGTGCTTCCATTGCAATGTAGTGTACTTGCTTGTGCTTTAAGTATGATTGCAGGATAGACAGGAGAAGCAGAAATAAACAAAGAGATCCTTTGGTTCCCCAGTGTCAAGTTAATAACTCTCTGACTCAGTAGCTCTATCCACACCCTTGTTTTCTATACACTCCATGGCATCTGACATTCCAATGTCAGATGAAGATCCTGAGGATTCTTCCTAGGAAAGTGGAGTCTACTCTGAGGGGTGGCAGTGGGTAAGAAAGACAGCTATGACTCAAGTACAGGACATAGCAGGAGTAATGTCCATGCCAGTTATTTAACTGGAAAAGACAGAGGACTCAGGAATCATGAACAAAATTTTTAAATCCATATATATTTCTGTATAGCAAACATAAACAAAAAACAAAATGACAAAGAAAATGACAAACTTTTAAGACTTATAAAGTACAGGAAAAAAATATGGACTTCTTAAATTTTAGAGAGATCCCACCTATGAATAAGCTAAATGGGACAAAAACCAACAAACAAAAGGTACATTTTTTAGAAAACTACAAGTTCTTATTTGTGTAAATGTATTCCTAATATATAAGAAAAGCATAAACCAGCATTACACTGGGATATCATTTTTACTATAGATTAGAAAAGATGAAAAACACATTTTAGGGCTAGTGCATGGCTCAAGACAAAGGCACCTGTCTAGCAACTGTCAATCTCCTGTAAAACCAATTTAAAAAACCTTTTAAACAAATATATAAAACTTTCCATATCCAAGAAAACACAGGAAACCAGCAGACAGTGAACTCACAAAGTAAAGTTATGTTTTTTGAAGTTAGAAAAAAAGTAGAGGTAAGCAAGTCAACCTGTGTGAATGTCTGAGCTATGGCCTCAAGGACCAAGGAATCTTGAATGTACCCACCCCTTCATCCATGGTGAAGAGAGCTGCAGGAAATCCAAATGCTTCCATGACTAAAGAATAATAAAGAAGAAAACACAAAAAATAAGAAAATGAAAAATGTAATGGGAAGGTAAAACTTAATTTCTTTGTTAGAAAATGGGTACCCTTTGTAGTTTATGTTTTACTTGTAAGAACGCTGTATACTGTACGCTCTTAGCTGCAAGGTCCTTGCAGATATGGGGCACTTTGAATAACCACAGTAGTTCCCTGAACATAGGCAGGAAGACAAGACATTGGGAGTTGGGTAATACCAGGGCTTTCAGTGACACAGTCCATCGGACATGCAATCACCTGGCATGTATGCATTACTGAGTGCCCTATAACATAATGACATGGGCAGTGTCTCTGGGAGTGAGCCCAGTCTAAATGAAGACCCAGATGACACATGAGGGAGGGAGGTAGAGGGAGCACCAGAACATCACTTGAGCTTTCTTACCAATTTACATCTGAAGCCTATGTACATCACGATATTCCTATTATCTGTAATCAGGAATTTGATTACAAGGGTTTCACTGAAGACTCTAGTACTTGGATCCAAAAGAAGCCTAAATGAGTCACATAGCAAACATGAAGAAGTTTGAGGCCAGAGAAGTTAGTGCAAGTACTTTATTTGAGATAGAGAAAGAAAATTGAGGATAAGTACAGATGTAATGACAGACATCTTCCAAGATTCAAGGGAGTGGGAATCATTTTTTTCTACTCTGAATGCTCAGCGGCAGCAGAATACATAGTTTTTGGTTCTCCCGGTGCAGGTCCCAGAGACACTTTCTGTACTATAACAGGCTCGTACTCTGCAATGGCAGATGTAGGTCTTCCTTGCACCTAGGGACACAGACAGAACTTCAGGCATTGAGAAATGGAGTCAATGGTTCATAGCAAAATAGAATCCCAGGAAATACAGGAAGAACCGAGTGGGTTTGTTGCATTGGCTACATCACAGCCAGCAGATTGCCAACTAAGACAGCAAGTGTTGGGTCCATGCAGATTTGAGTCCCAAGGTCAAGTTCCTTCACCTGTTTTCCCCCTTGCCCCCCTCTCACCTACATTTGAGCACTATCTTACACTGGTCTGAGGTTTCTAAAAGCTCTTCTGTTAGACAAAGTCGAATTGTCTCCCAATAAATAAGTGGACCATTTTGATTTAGAAAGAACTGCTCAGTATTTTGCTATATATTTTATAATGTGTAAAGTTCACACAAATGTTTTAGAATTAAGACTTTAGAAAAAGAAAATCACTTAGGTATGTGACTTTCATTGCTATTTTTACAAATATGACTAGCAAGGCCCAGTGAGGACAAATGGAGTCACCTCCGTGAGCCAGACTGGTCTGCACATGGATCCAAAGCCTGTCTCTAGTTCTTCCTCTTTACACTCCATGCCTCTATCATACTGGCTGTCATCTCTCACCTAGATTTTCAAGTGCAGGACTTTCAGCCCCTGTAAAGGAGACGGCCATATCCTGGTTTTCTTCCCCTGGCTGCTCCTGGTCCGAAGCCTCCTCAGCTCTTTCTGGGAGAGTCTCAGCCTTGGCCTGGAAGGCCAGCAGGAAAAGGGCGGTGAGGAGGGCGAGTGTCCTCATGGCTGGATGTCACCTGGTGATGGGAGAACAGGAGCTGAGTGTGTGGGGAGTGAGGAGTCAGCTACATTTATAGGTCTGTGAGGAAAAGGCTCAGGGAGTCTCTGCAGCCAGAGAAGAGTGCACTTGATGGACATTGTCCTCAAGGTCCCCTTGATGTTCCTTTGTTCTCCCAGCTGTCATGATGACATTGGTGTTATATCCATTGGTTGTCCTCTGTTCAAACTGATAATGATGATGATAAGGATACTGCTATCTTTTCCTATTTCCCATCTGCCAGAGAGTATTTACTTTTTAGTAGTCAAGAAGGAAAGGAAACAGTGCTTTGTTCAATCAGCTCATGGAACAAAGGCCTTTTTAAAGATGGAGCTTGCTGGGAGGGGGTGGGGGAAGGAGAGAGAAATGACAGAAACATTGTATGCACATATGAATAAAAGAAAAAAAATAAAGATGAAGCCTGCTGCCCTCTGAGAGTCTGGGTCCTGGGCTAGACCTGGATCTCAGTGGTGCAGAGACTCAACCCTTCACACAACTTACAAGGGGCATTGGCACCCTTGAAAGGGGAATTTGTGAGCTTCTCCTTTCAGCACATTGTGGAGAGAGCACATGATATTGTCATGCTTGAGGTGACCTGAGCTCAGTAGGACACTAGGCACGGAGCTAGTCAGACTGAAGCCACAGCACATTGCCTGAGGATGCCAGCTTGATCTGAAAACATCCTAGGAAGTATGGTCTAGTTCCTTCTTTTCAGTTTGAGACATGTCAAAACAATTGAAGTGCCACAGCACCTTTCTGACTATTTAACATTTTTTAAGTTTTATCAAAATTTAATTCATGCACATAGAACAAAATTCAAAAGAAGAAATGGTGATGACTTCCTGCCCTAGGCCCAGCCCTCCCAGGAAATGTTTCTGCTGCAGGAAACTACCACTGTTCACAAATGCACATTATTCTGCACTGTTTTTTCTTTTTTAAAAACTGATGCTTATCCATTTAAACATTTTTATAGGAGAACATTTGCAACTATATTATTTTAATAAGTTTATACTATTCCAGTGTTTGCATATGTTATCACCTACTTAATATTGACAAAATATTGCTCAATTCTTACAATTTGGTTAGTCTTGACCTTTTCCAGTAAGTAGAAAAATGGCAATGAATATGTATGCGTCTATATATCATACTGCCCACAAATAAAAATCGATTTGAGTGCACTTCTAGAAGTTAAAGAACAAGTTCTATTTTTAGTGATCGTACAACGTTGTTCTTTATAGAGTTAACCCAGTAGCACATACACTATATATCTCTACTACTGTCATGCACCTGATCCTGCTGCAGTTATAATGCACCCACCTTACAAACCTACTCAATGAATCATTATCTCCCCATGACTCTGTTTGACAATTCATCACTGACTCCCATACTCTATACCTCATGCTCTCTCTGTGTTGCCACACCTAAGGAAGACCTTGACCTGCCATTGCAGAAAACAGTCCTGTAATTTTCTGGAATGCAACTCTGAAATATGAACACAAGGTAGTAAATACTACATAATCCCCTCACATTGCACCTCAAGAAAAGAGAAAAATAATGTCACCACTTACTTTGAGACCTAAAATGACCCATCTTTACCCCTGCACTTGTACAGGATTTTCTTTTTTTCTTAAATAAATTTTTTGCAGCAAGTTCTCTGTGTTGGCACATCTTTGATATTTACTATGCCTCTTTAACTGGACTCTTTGGGATGCAAGTGCCAGAGTCTCAAATGAAATCCCTTTAGGCAGAATCCTGGCTCCAAGGGCTACGGATATAGTTCAGTAGTAATGCACTGCCTGGCATGGGTGAGGCCCTGGCTCCAGTTAGTAGGGATCTCAAGGATGAACATAGGCTCAGACACAAGAAAGCTGAGTGACGCTGCTGATCCCTCTAGACCTTTCTTGTCTTGTATCTTGGCCTTATTTTAGATTGAATTCACTCTCAAAGTCATTAACCGTGTTAATTCTATTATTGTGTACTTGCAAAAATTATGTGTCCTAACAATACCATGCCCTGTGGAGTGGATTACTGAAGGCACTGGTATTACCCAATTTCCACTGCCTTTTTTCCTGCCTACTTTCAGGGCAGACTGTGCTCCGCACAAAATGATTGATATCATTGATCTTAAAGCTCAGAGAGTGTAACAAACAGAGTTCTGACCAGTAAAACATAGCCTTAAGAATGGTATCCTTGTGGGATGTTCTGGTCAGACTGGGGTTTGAACTCAAGGCTTCACGTTTACAAAGCAGCTGCTTTACCCACACCTCCAGTACCTTTTAGTCATTTTGGAGGTGGGGTCTCACGAACTATTTGCTTGGGCCAGCCTTAAATTGTGAGCTTCCCAATCTCAACCGCCCTAGTAAGTAGAATTTCAGGTGTGAGCCACTGGCACCTGGCTGGAAAACCTTTTTAAATATTGAAAAATCTTTTCATTTGCATTATAATTTTCATTTTCTTACTGTTTTATATTTTCCTGCTTATTTCTTCTAGGATTATAGGTACAGTGGGACTTGCAGTAGCTGTCTCACCATGGAAGAGAGAGTTGCTTGATGTAGATGATGGAACAAGTAGACACAAAAATTCCTTGGTTGCCAAGGCCAGGGTTTGACCACCTTACCCACACCTTAGCCTGCACATATCTGGATTTGTTGTGACTTGGGGAAACCCCTTTTTTATTTTATGAAGCCAGTATTAGTGGGGTTCTCTTACTTTGTGGTTAAAGCAGGCTGATACATGTGTTATGAAGTATTCTTCTCTTTTCCATTCTGATAGGAAAATATTAATAACCCAGTACAGTTCAGGCTTGCATTTTTCTTATAAAAAGGGGCAAATGGGTCATGACTAGCTGGTATTTCTACTTATTTATTATGAATTGCTATTTTTCCCAATTCTTTTTGGCCTATTTTTATTGATTTGTAAGAGTCCTTTATAAGTTCAGAAAATTATTACTTTCTCATAGGGAAAGGTTTGTCATTTCTCTTTGGCTTTTTATGTGCATAACATTTTATCTTATTTCAGAATTTCTTCTGTGATTTCAGAGTTCTCTATCTTTCCTACTTAAATTTGTAACTTTCAGTCTTGTATGTTAATAGTTCCTGGCATCAGTAATTCCTGCCATATTTTGTGCTCAAGTCTAGGTGGAATTTTTTACACACTATCACCCTCTCAGAAAAGGCTCCAGTTTCCCAGGGAGAGTCTCAGGGTCCTTGCCATTCTGACATAAGAATGGTACATACAGATGCTCAGCAAATAGAGAGGAAACAGAGCTGTGGATGGAGCTCATTGTGACTTTGGAGACATGATGGAGCTCTTTGTGTTCATTTCTGCTTCTGTTCTCTTTGAGCCTCAATCTTTTTTAACACAACCATTTTAATAATAGAATCTGAATAGAAGTCCATCTCCAATTACTTTGACCTTGCACCTGACTTACTTGAGCACACATTATGTCATTTTCCTTTTCCTCCTCACAGACATTAAGACCTTGCCATTTCCCAGCTCAGCTGAACCCCAATATGGGTCATCGTCTTGAGGACTTGTTTCTTCTTACACCCCCTTGCATACAGGAACGTTTGAGGGGATTGATCTTTCCTGCCAGTGTGTTGTGCCCTAGGTCATTATGTGTTCCCAGACTGATTCCTAGGAACAAAGAAATTTCTTTATTTGGTGTTTATAGGACATGTGAATTATGGGCAGGTTTCTAACTAGTTCTAGAGTATGGAAAGCAATCAGGTAAAAGTTGCTTCACATCAGATACCAAATGAGGAAATTTGCAAAGGCACGTATTAAGAAGAGGTCATGAAATTAATTTGAGATCATTAGTTGCTGTCAGGTTTAATGCTCAGACGCAAATGATCCCAACAAGTGATAGTAACTAGCACTCTCAAGTGCAGAACAAATGAGAGAATGTAGGGTAGTGGCAAAATATATGGGGTTTGCAAACAGTCCTGTTACTTAAAATTTAGTGACTTTTAGTAAGACAAACTCTTTAGTTTCTGCTTTCCCGCTACAAAAAGAAAGAAAGAAAAAACTTGTTGAACACTGTATCTGTGCCAATGTCATGATATGGAAGTGGTGATGGTGTTATGCCCAGTTTAATGTCAATATAGAGAATTACATCAATGACCATAAAACATAAAGTCACTGGCAGTTACGGGAACCCAAAGAAAGATGCCACACATTCTAGGCCCCAGTCCTAAATCAGATCTTCACTGTCTTCATATCATGGAAGTGCTGGACTTTTTCTGAGTCATGCCCAACAGACTCATTCTGTTATTACTGGGATCTGTGATTCCCAACCTTCCATGGTTCTCGACTATGAAAGGCCACAGTGGGATCCTATGTCCCTGGATTCATCTGCCCATTTTGATCGTCAATATGAGGCATAGGTCCACCTCAGAGTCAGAACACAGTTGTCTTGGAGATCCAAGACATGGGATCTTGGCATTGCAGTTGGTGTTGGTGGTCATACGAGTGTCTGGGCTCATGACTGCTTTCATAAAGATCCCACTTGGAACAGTAACCTTTTCTCTCCAAATTACAGGTATTACTCTGCCTTTGGTTTTACTTACTCCAGAAGACAGTTATTATTTATGGTTTGTCCAATGTTTGTTCACGATTACCCTTGGGCTCTGCTCCTACCTTTCCTTCCACCGTTGCTTCTTAAAGCTTCCATTCAGGATCATTGACTCTCATTCTAAGTGTATGCTTTAGTATTCCCTTTGGTGAGTATCTGCTGGTGAGAAAATATCTAATTAAAGCTAAATATTTAAACCTTACCTTGGAAGATAATTTCATTGGTCATGAAAATTTTAGAAGGCTGGTATTTTCTTCCAGTACATATATGTAGGACATCTTTCCTTTCATCCCCCTACCCCAAGAGGCTGGAAATAGAACTCAGAGTCTTACACATGTTAGGCAAGGAGCTAAAACCCAGCCCCTCATGTAGCATAACTTAAATTATATTCTAG